ATCTCCTTTGAAGTTAACAAGCAGCTGGCTTATCTTCAGACTGAGCGTGACTCGAAATGGAAAGAATGTGTCAACAAAAAGACGAAGCTGATGCTAAAATGCTTGTATTTAGTCAACCCGTGTTACTTTCTGTATGCAACACAGGCCGGATTTGACAGATGATTTCGAGAGTTAACGATATGTCTTTAAGTTTTCCTCTATTACACTTGAGGGTCGCTCTAGATTCTAGAAGAAAGACCACGATGTACTGCAAGAGATTTGAAAGGAGCTTGGCGTGACGTGTTCGTCAAACCATAGCGGCACGATGCTAACGGGTGGCTAGCTGATCATATTCCTTTGAGTACATAGGCGCTGATTTATAAATAAACCTTCCACGCTGCTAAAGCGAGGCTGACAATACAGCTAAGCGTTTCTCCTACCTGTCGTCTCCGAGTTTCAGTTGCGAATCAGTCCTAAAAAAGAGAATTTACGTTGCTTAGCTTCTTTGAGGAACACTCACTCAGTTCGTTCATAAGCTTGTCGCAGAATGATGTCATCATGCAAGGATGCAGTTGAGGGGTCGTAATATTTTTCGCGACCTTACTCACTGCCACTGTATTATTATTTTTAATTAATTATTTATATTAAATTGAACAGGTCTGTCAGAACACACAACTGTGAAATAATAGAAAAAAAGAATAATTAAACAATAATAATAATAATAAAAACAATACACTGAGGGTTTTAACACAAAACACAACTTGTATGTACACTTTGTCCTGGGACATTCTGAAGGAAGCTTAAATTTCCGTCGTTCTTACGCATCTTTACGGACACTAAAATTTTTACGGGACAGGGGCGCCTCCTGAATTTTTTCATAGGGTGGCCATATGGGGACCACTAAAAATATCAGGGTGGCACACAAAAAATAGAATTTCTCCTTTTATTATGCTGTTATCAAATATAGGTCACTTGACAAAAAAAAATCCCCCCCAAAAGAGAGAAAGTAACGAATTTTATCCAGTAGACTCGCTCATTTTTCAGGAAGTGATGCCTCCAACTGGTGAGGCATCCTTTTTCTTTGTTATTGTTTCTTTACTATTATTATTGATATAAAGCTGGCCATTTTCACATGACAGTCACTTTCAAACTTTTTTAGAACTGCATTTTTTTTAAAGGAGTAGAAATGGAGGTACTCCAAATATGCAAGAACAAACTGTCCCTCAAAGGGAGAAGAGTCAATTTTAAATCAGGTAACTATTTAACTTGTTTTTATTTTTGATATATGGAAAACTGACATGCATAAAGGAATAATGCCACATTTTTTTCAGGAAAGGTTAGTTAGTTTTCTTGACAAACATCAGGTAAGAGTATTAAATTCCCTTCAAACCTTTGTCATGGATCATATATACAGAAACCCATGTTTATTATTATGTTATCATGTTTATTATGCTTTTTATTACACTTAAATAGTTGTTATGTGTGCTTTGGACTTTATTCTTTTTACAATAGACTTTTGTCACTCCTCTCTGAAGTATTTTGAAGTGTTGTGTAGCTGTGTAAAGCCTAGCTGATAATCCTGTATATAGCTTCTTCACTTTTTACTCTGTCTTTAATAAATGAAAATATTTATAAAAAGAACGTCTCAACACCTCCTTGCGTGCTCCTCCTCCTCATTACAGCAGATTGTGATTGTCAGAGGATTAAACTTGGCACCGGACTCACCGCAGGCTGTTGTCCTCCGACTTCTCTGCTGTCTGAGGACCAGATTGAGGACAATGGGCCTGCTGAATATCATCAGCTCTATCAAAGACCGAGCTGAAAAGTTTCTAAATGAGAAAAATGTGGTGACGGATATTCTGGGAAAAATGGAGGAGAAAACTGGGATCAAGAAGAAGGTCATTGCTCTTGGTACGTGTGATTTAATCTTCTAGAATTATTTTTTTCCCAACTTGCTGGTTTGTGTAGTAGCACACGGCTACTTCTGGATCATTCTGCTCTCGTCCTAGATGTAGTTGATTTGTATAACGCTTGTTGCAGGCCAGTGGAAACCTGAAGAGGATTCAGTTAATCCTCCTCTGATCAGCTACCATCCACAACAGGAAGCTGGGAATGTTCAGGAGGTTTTCTGCTTCGTTTATTCTGCAGTTAATCCTCTGCACCGATAAATATTTTGTCATACTGAACTCAGGTAAACTGGCTCTGCGGCCCTCTGGGTTTTCGCATCATTAAGCTCCTGGTTTTGTGGCAGTGCCTGCTTCACTGTGTCCAGTTCTTTGATAGGACATGTATCACCCTGAGCTGAAAGCTGGAAGTCTTCTGTTTAGTACTTTCTCTGACTAAGCAGTGATGGGCAGAAGTCTCCTTATATCTTCTTATGTTTTAGTTCCTGGATCAACTATGTTTGTAGCTTTAAAGGACTGGTTTTACCCCAGTTTGATGCTGGTCCTACGCAGAGCTTACGTGTAACTTTTTGCCTGCTGCACAGAAGACCAGTCATAAAATATCTGTGTAGGCTTCATACCAGGAGTCCTTCACTCTGAACGGGTAAATATCTACAAACACTAATGTGCTTCAGTGAAACCTGCAGGAGTCTCAAAGCTTTCTGCAGCTGTCACCTTGAATAACTCTGTCTCTCTTGGGGAAGACAAGATAACTCTTTATTGTTATTGCACAGTCATACGTGGCTCAATAGTACAATGAAATTGGAAAAACTGAAAGTATCTTGTGTGGAACTAAAGCTGTATATTAACACCTTTAATTAAATTCTCTGTCACAGTTCGGTTAAGTTTAGACAAAAAACCCCAAACAAATTCTGATAGAGATTTTTGAGGTACCACGATAACTGGCTAATGATCAAAGCCAGTCATTGTTTATAATGATACATTATTTCATAAGCATAAAGGGCACTTTAAACAATGACAGGTGATATAAGAGAATTATAACTGCTTAGAAACAATCAAAAGAATAATCGTACCCACACACAGCTCATCCAGTTTCACACGTTTGCAGCAACAAATGGAGAATCTTTTAAAAGAAACTCTGTTACAGCAAAACACACAAGACTTCATTTGAGACGTCAGATTTTATAGATTTTAAAATGTTTTCACATATTTAGCAAAACAAAGCTAAACAACAACAAACTCCAAAAAAACAAATAATCCCCCAAAACAAATCCTAACCTTCACCCCATCGACAGATTTTTGGTAACAGAAGCTGAGGTTGTTAACAGGATTCTTTCTTTTGACTTTATTATACATCTTTACTGTCAGTTGTTTCCTACCATGTGGTCCCTAACATGGTCACAACATGTTAGCCATTTAGAGGGAGGCCTATCAATTATTTTTAGTGCTGTGTGGACATCACAAACTAATACAGATCCAAATATCTTCTTGATCCTGGGACCCAATTCCTTTGGTTGAAGGTTGAAACTTCTGGCCTTGGAAGAGTAACACAGACTCTCAGACTGTTCTTCATATTTAATTATTTTGGGATTTATCGTCTTGTTGGGTTTCTGGTTTCAAGAATTTTAATTAGTTTGCACCATGTTACTTCATCTTCATTTCTAAAGGACAAATCATCCAAATTAGCAAACTAAAAATGGGGTGACTGGAGCTCAGGTGGTAGAGCAGGTCACCTACTAACTGGAAGGCGTTTCAATCCCAGTCTGCTCCAGTCTGCATGCCAAATATCCTTGGGCAAGATGCATGTTGCTCTCCGATGCATGGATCGGAGTATGAATGTGTGTGAATGTTAGACAGTAAGTGCTTAGAAACAGCTACGAACAAAGTGCTTGTGTGAATGTATAAGTTGTGTAAAGCACTCTGAGTGCTCAAATAGAAAAGTGCTATAAGAACCAGTCCATTCACCATAAAAATGGCTTTTCCCTCCCAAACCCCTGCTGATTGATATATTTCCATCCAGCTTTGACAAAGAAAACCTCTGTGGGTTCAGGAGTTCATTGTTTGGCTCAAAATAAAAAACGTTTCTTAAAGGCAAAACCTCGGTGTGTCCATACTTGATTTGTCTACGGTCAGTTCAGTAAAGGTTATTCAAACATCACAGCAGTTCAGTGTTAACAGAAAATGGGAAGAGAACAACCACGTTGCTCTACTTCTGCCTTTCCTGCTGAATTTCTGAAGCTGTTGCACATTATATTGTTTTATAAATATCTCGACATTTTTACAAGAAAGTTTTGTTGTTTTCTAAAAATAGACACAGACCAACCAGCGTGTTTTGTTGGTAGTGTTAAAAAGGCTCTCAGGTCCGTGTGCACACAGGGAGCAGCAGTGTATTGAGAGCACGTTGATGCTGGTGCAGTGGATTTGTAGCACATTAAGCAGGACATGATGTCAGCGTGGTGCCTGGCGCTCGCTGTCTCCCGCTCTGAGCCTTGACGTTAAAGCTGATTATCCACAGAGACAGGCAGCAGAGCAGCGCCGCCTCCATGTGTGAACAGCAACATAAGCTGATCAGAGGTAGGACCCTTTTTTTTTTTCCTTCCTTTCTGTCTGGCTGTCAACCAATCAGTGAAATTTTGCTTGTTGTTCAGATTTGTTTTGATATTTGGCTGAATCGTCCACACTGTTGGCCTGTGAGCTCTGCGCTCTGTGCAGAGAATATACCTTGTTATTCTGTCTTACATGGATAACGAAACAGGTTTTACTTCCTGTTCATGATGGACATCACCTTTCTTCATTGTAAGTTATGGAAGGCTATGAAATATATGGAAATGTACATTTAGGTGGAACCACAGATCGCATTGCTGCCTCTAAGCAAGAAGAAGTCCTGAGTTTGAATCCAGTCCGGTGCCTTTCTGTGGGGAGCATATTTCACCTGTGTTTACACCAGTTCTCTCTGGACACTCCAGCTTCCTCCCATAGTCCAAACACATGTTCATTGGATATGAAATCAAATCTTGTAATGCTATGGCCCTGTTCTTTTGCCCACGTCTACATTGCTGGTCAGTCTTTTGCAGGAAACACTTTCTTCTGCATGATTTTGGTTCCAAATTGGTCGAGTCTGTGCTAAACTGGCTGTTTTTTGCAATGCAGTCTCAAGAAATAGTTTGAACACTTGTAAAACTGTTAACTGCAAAATAGTTTGTGGAAGTTGAGGCTTGTCCACTCATGCAACCGACGTATGCACTGTGATTTACAGGAGATGTTACTTAAGAGAGTAAAAGAAAGTAGAGCATAACTGCTTTAATTATTTGAAAGACACATTTCTCAGTGTTCAGACTTATAAATATTAATAAATAGCAGCAGTACATAGAAAATAAAACATCTGTCTTCATCCAGGTGCCGTCTCGCTGACCGGACTCTACCTGGTGTACGGCTATGGTGCCTCCCTCCTCTGCAACCTGATTGGTTTTGTTTATCCAGCTTATTATTCGTAAGTTTTTATTTTTAATTTTTTCTATTTTCTTTTCCTCGTTGTGGTCGGAAGTCATTGTCATACTCAGTGGACCCATGTGGCAGTCTCAGTATAACAACTGTGCCTACAATACACACTGAGTTTTCTTGGTATTATTATGTTTTTGTGACATGTTTGGCATATATCGATCTTTTCCACAGCATATATTTAATGATATTTGGACATTTTATGCATTTATATAAAGACATTTTACTACATTTGGAGACATTTCAAAAAATAATTTTATTAGAAATGTTCAGACATTAATGTCATCAAGCTTCAGGATGTTGTCAGGTGTGTATTCTGGTTTTGCCCTTGAAGAAGCACAGCTGATGAAGATGACTTTGTCTGGATAATTGTGACTGATTTTACTGTTAAAGTTCATGATATTTATATCTGTAATACAGTTCAGTACTAAAGCAAATAGTCGTGTTACCGGTGCAGAGGCACAGATGTCTTTATCATATTTGAAGGATCAACATATTTCTCAGCTCTTTTACAAAACTCCAACTCTGTGCAGAGTCAAAGCCATCGAAAGCCCGTGCAAAGAAGACGACACAAAATGGTTGACCTACTGGGTGGTGTACGGCGTCTTCAGTCTGGGCGAGTTCTTCTCTGATATTTTCCTCTACTGGTTCCCATTTTACTACGCTTTTAAGGTGAGATGACATGTAGGGAGCAATGATACATGCTCCACCTCTTTATGGAGCAAACCCTAAAGAACAAAATGCTTCTTTTAGGATGAAATATAGAAACAATATTGCATTTATATCAACTACTACCTTTTTTGAAGGGCTACGACCGTCATACTAGAATTGAGATCAGGTAAAAGGATTCAGTGATTCCAGTAATCTCCTTCTTATGTGGTTCCAGTGTCTCTTCTTACTCTGGTGCATGGCCCCAGTGTCCTGGAATGGCTCACAGATTATCTACAACAAAGTGGTTCGGCCTGCCTTCCTTCGCCATGAGGCCACAGTGGACAACATGGTCAGCGACCTCAGTGGGAAAGCCATGAGTGCTGCCGAGAACCTCACCAGAGAAGGTAAAACTGGCCCAGGACCACCGCGAGGGCCTTTTACAGAAGATTTAAACATGTACGTACTTCCTCTCTCGCTCTTCTCCCTCCGTAGTCCTGACCACTCTGGTGAAGAATAAAGCCGTGATCACACCATCGCCACCTGTTGCTCAGTCTGAAGCTAAAAGTTTACCAAGTACATCAGGAGAAACATCCACAGCTAAAGTTGGTCCATCAGAGATGAGCGAAGAAAGAAGAGTATGTAAAATACACGTTTTCACCCTTTACTCAGTCTGTTCACCTTGAATCATATCAGTGAAAGCAGCTCAGGAAACTTGCAGTCTGCTGGTTTATGTCCTCTCTACAAGCTGCTGAGTGATGTGTTCTCACTTAGAAAGCATTGTAGCATCTCTCTTTACTGTCAGTAACCTGGGAAAACTGATCAGCAGTCCCTCCCACTAACACTGTTTATGTAGCGGATCAGTACTTGGAGTTCAAGCATTGTTTAGATCAAGCGGCTCTGATGAAAGCTGATTTGTTTCTATAAAAGTTGTCCACATAACTTACAGAAATCCACGGTTATTAACGACACCCGTGGCTGTTAAGTGGACTCCAGTTATGATTTTGTTGCTTGTGTTTGGCTAAAGTGGACTCACAGCTGATGCTGGAACAGACCCGTCCTTCATCTACATCAAGTGTTTATGTGTTCATATAGGCAGTGTTGGGAAGGTTACTTTTAAAATGTAATCCATTACAGATTACAGAATACATGCCCCAAAATGTATTCTGTAACGTATT